ATGTCCTGAATAAATAATGATAAAAACGAACAACTTTATTGCTTTATTGCACCAACGCAGGATCATGATACTGAGTCAGTAATAGTATCTGTTTACTGGCACCCCTAAAGTCCAAAAATAAGCCAGTGACATGATAGCAGTTGTAGCAATAAAAGCTTGATCATGTCTACAGCTTTCAACACAAAATGTTACAATAAAATCTTGTTCTTACCTGTATAAGTGTAGTAAAAAAAAATGCAGTTATTTATGCAAGAATATTAGAGTCCAAATAAACTAAATAAACCAGCCCAGGCTCAATGAAAATCAAGATATTTCTGCACAATGAAATTTCATTTCTTATTGCATGTTTCAAAACATTTCCAAAGTGAAATGCCAGTCAGTGGCACTAAAAGAGCATTTGGTTTTATCAGAAAAAAATAAATGTGAATCTGGCAACGTTATATTACATTGGTTGTTGTACATATTGTGGCAGTTCCGAAATGAAATGTCCTGTAAGTGATGCTAAAAGGTTAATGCTCTATGGAAAATAACGTACCAACTACGCTAAACCCTATAACCTAAACCTAACCGAAAAGCAAACATGAGATTAAAAAGTAGTTTCTGAAGCAACCATGCTAAAAACTACATTTCCAGGTTAGAACACATCTGCGTAAACATGTTTTGCATATGCCCACCCCATACATTCTGTCTTCATGCGGTTTGCTTAGCAAATACTCATAAATCTTTATTTGGGACTGGTAGGAGGTGATCTACTTTTGGGTTTGGTGAAATCATTAAGGTGAGCAACAGTTTGTCAATGCATGTGTTGAGTAAGGAAAAATGTAAATATATTACCAATGTGCTAAAGCTGAAGGACGTGACTCATTTGCACAGCTCTTTTTTTTTTCTTCAAAATGTGGGACTGTTCAATTTGACTTTCAAAGCATACATTTGAATTTCCCTCTTAAGAGAGAAAATCTAGCTACTGAGGCTCACCAATCTGCTGGTCCTGAAAGAGAAACTTCCAGATATAAGCATCTCCATTCCTGAGAAACAAAACAGTCTATGATTATGTATTTAGCTATTACACAACATGAATAGTAGTTGCTTGTTAAGTCAAAATTGTGCAACATCACTCGAAGCTCACAAATTGAATCACAGGTTATAATAATGTTTGCAATATGGGTGGAAAGTACATATGTGCCACACGGTTTTACTCTGCTAGCAGACACAGTATTGATTTATATAATAAAGGTAATATGTTAATAAGAAACTATGGCTTCCTCGAAAACTCAGTGATCAGTATTTTTACAGTTCATAAGTTAAGTGTGCTACATTTGTGCAACAACTGCTGTTTCTTAAATATATGTTAACATTACCAACATAACAAAATTTTAATTTCTCCTCCAAACAGATGATGAAAGGGGAACTTATGTGATGAATTAGTGTGTATTATAATATTATGGCACTGTATATTATATAATAGATCCACATAAAATTTGTTTATATAAATCATGAATGTCTATTAATGATTTGTTCACCTGCCTAAATGAGGGAAACTATATATCATATATTGCAAACAATACAGCCATCTGCTCATCTAAACACTATACGACATTCAGAAGAGTTTATGAAACCTGAAACTAAATCAATATGTTTATTGACTAATACAAAGCAGGGATGTGCTGCACACACAAACTGTATAATGACTTGAGCATTACAGAGGGATGTGAAGTCAGGAAGATTTCATGCTATTCAATAACCCACTTAAGAAGAGAGGATGCTGGGAAAGGCTCCTTGATGGGTTTTAGAGTGGGTACAGTAACTTTAATGTGAAGCTAAAAATAAAACAAACTGGTGACGGATGGATCTCTCTCTCTCTCTACACACACACACACACATGTCTGGTCAGCTATCCTTGTGGGGACTCTCCATAGGCGTAATGGTTTTTATACTGTACAGACCGTATATTCTATTGTCCTACACCAACCCTACACCTAAACCTACCCCTCACAGGAAACTTTCTGCATTTTTAGATTTTCAAAAAACTTCATTATGTGTGATTTATTAGCTTGTTTACCCGTGGGGACCTCAATTTAGGTCCCCACCGTGACACGAGTCCCCATGAGTCTGTGTGTATTCAGGTTTAAGTCCCCACCAGAATAGAAAAACAGGTACACACACACACACACACACTCACACAATATGAAACAACATGTATGTATATAAGAGTTGTTTCATATGTTGCTTATTTGTTAAGGGTTTGTAAGCTGCAGCATGAATAAATTAGGTGGTCAGGATTGTTTTGATGTTTCCTGACTTGATTTATGTTGATTTATGTTTTTGTCACCATTGTAAGTTATTTGTTTTGTATGGGTTACAAGCTCTTTTTTATGATGTTTGTTGATTGTTATTGAGGTTTCTGTGCTAATTGTTGAGGACCATGTGTGTATATTTTATTACTGCACACATAGTACCATTCTTCAGAGGTCAAGATCACAATTCAAATTAACTGTGTATAAGAATGAAATATTTATAAGAAGGCTTATAAGAAGATTTCTGGCATTGCTAATTTATTATTTGCTCAACAAGAATTATGTACGTGTTCCGACATTAACTTTTTAGATGAATGAGAAATTGTTATTTATTGAATGATCAAATTAAATTTGGACAAAGAAAGTAGTATTGCGGTATTACGATTATGTCAAGAGAACCTAACATTATTGATGAGAATATGCAGACTTGTTTCTTTGCCCAACAGCTCAACAACTGAGTGATGGACTGCCATTCTAAAAAAAAACATTGAATCAATATATGGGTGTGCATTTCCATCCACAAATGTCTAACTTCACCAAAAGCCAGACAAAATGAAAGACAGTCTCTGTGGATTGATTCCCTGTCAGGTCAAGACCGAGCTAATGTCATCAATTAGAGTTGAGTTTGTTTTTTTTATGTACAATATCGAATCAGCATATTAGAATGATTTCTGAATGATCAGAAAAAAAGTCATTTTAATTTGTAAGAATATTTCACAATATTACTGTTTTTACTGTATTTTTGATCAAACAAATGTAGTCTTGGTGAACTTTTTTCAAAATCATAGAAAAAACTGATAGTGTATTGTTTAACCTCCTTAACTGACTGTTCAACAATAACCTGCTAGTCCATTAATTGACCACCTTAACTCATCTATGACCTTTCACTAAGGTCATCAACTGAAGGTCAAAAGCTAGAAGCGAAAAGTTTAAAAAATCCAAGATCTTTGAATATCAAGATATTGATGTAACTTCTTATTTGAGTAGAAACTTCTACAGTTATTTACAACCAAATACAAAATGGAACAAATAATGAACAAATGATCTGTTCACACCAAGCGTGGGATTCATTTTAAACAGCGCACAGTTATATTTAATAAAAATATAGAATGCAAAACAAAGAAACAAAGAATGCTGATGGGGCCATAAACACCAAATGTGCTACAACTTCAGCGGCTCTGGACATGTGATTAAAATACATGAACATATTAGTTCATGTATTTGCTAAATGAATAATAATAATAATAAATAAATAAATACAATTCGAAACACTCACCAAGGTGAATTACTGGCACTTTTATCTAAAGCTATTTGTGTGATGACAGTGCTAGCAAATGGATTATATAAAATTGTGTATGGTTCATCAATGCAGCTTCAACCAAACCTTTTCTGAGTAAGAAAGAGGGTTAAGCCTACTAATTGGCATTGTTCTTTTCACCCTGTACAGATGCTCATAAAAAATATTTTGCTACAGTATTCTCACCTGACCTGAAATCAACCAACAAATCAAACTCCTCAGCCTATGCTGAGAATGATCACTGAACGGTTGCAAATGTACAGAAAACAATACTGGACAGAGGAGCCAGAGTCATATGTGTCCAGGTAAAGACCCAGACTAAAGCAGCACTCATGGCTCATGGACGTGTCTGAACACGACCACACCTCTCTTTGACATGTTTCACCCTCAGGACTTTGACACCTAGCAACACTTCTGAACTGTCTTTCTTTACCTGGCCTCCCCTGAGTGTCAGTCTGTCTCACTCAGCAATACAGCCAGGCCATTTCCTCCATTTAATATTAAAGAATGACAGTATTCAAGACAATTCAACTAAACATTAGTGGTCTGACAGACATGTGTTTTATGATAACTGATTATGATAATGATTATTTGTATTAGTATTTTCAAAGAGTAGGCCTAAAATTAGAATTCATGTCCAGGTTGCTTGTCTGATAAAAATGATAAATTGTATTCAGATTATCAAAACTGTGGTTGTGGTTGTAATTGTCACAAATGGAAAATGGACACTTAACTGGATAGTTCATCCAAAAATGAACATGACGACTATGATATCTGTCAATAAATAAAAACAACCTTTATCCTTCATTTTAAAGATGTGCAGTGAAAGCATTTGCGCTACAGAAATACATCACATGTAAGTGTCAGTTCAGCTCTAGAAGGGATAATGAAAAAGTCTAAACAAAATAAACACAATAAAACAAATATCACTTTACATTACGTTTTCATGTGTTGACACTAGATAGCCTATAAGTTAACATGTACTAACAATAAAAATAGGCCTATCTCTAAAGCTTTTATTAATTTTAATTAACTAATCAGGCTCATGATGTAACAAACGTATTGCTCATTGTTAATTATGTCAATGCATTAAAACTAATGGGACCTTAATGCTGTGTTACCAAAATTAACACAGTAGACCACATAAGATGAGATAGGTTACAAGAAAACAATCTGAAATAGTCTATAAAAGAAAGCCTTCTACAATAAATTGGTCGAATTATCAACTCTACACTTATTTGGCAATTTATCAAATGATGTTCTAAGGTCTCCTAAAGTCGCTCTATCAACCGTCAATAAAATAGCCTCTAATAATAATAATAATAATAATAAATTACATAAAAAACACAGTTTGGAACACAGTCTGGAAAACTACAGCTAAGTGTATATATAATTGTGGGTTTTCTTACCTTTGTGATGGTCATGCAGTATGAAGAGAACTGAGAATAACCCACGGCTACTAGATCCGCGCCTTTTTAAACACTCACTCGCAGAAATGTGTCAGAGAGAGAGAGAGAGAGAGAGAGAGAGAGAGACAGACAGAGATTATAGGATGATGCCGCAGTGTTTGAGGTGAGGTGTGAGCATCAGCTGGCATCTGTTTAGTGTTCATTATGGGACGCAAACTTGTCCTCCTAAAGGGGCGCTTGGGCGCTCAGAAAGACAAACGCACCATTGAGTTTCATTCAAATCCCAGAACACAGTTCGTTTAATTCGATGCATTTATACACTATAATGTGTAATCGTTTAAATGTATTAATTCATAGAACTGTTATCCGGGAAACAAATAGAAATATCGTAAAACAATCTATATAAAATAATTAAATAAAAGTCTTAGTCAGAAATCACAAAACTACTATGATTGGTCCAAGGTTTTACAGCGAAGTGAAAAGTAACATATACCACGTGACACCGCGGTGTGCGTTTTACACCAGCATTTGTCTGGACAATAATTTCGCACGATTAAGAACATTCCCGACAAACATTAATACTCATTTAGTTTAAAGATATTGTTAAGAGTTAAAACAAACATTACTTTTTTGTGCTAATTAGACCTGTCCAATTAGAAAGTACTTGCACGCACTATAAGACACGCCCATGTTTGTTACGTGTATTCCGTTCACCATCCGTCCCGTTTTTTCGATGTCTATGGATGTGAGGCGGCGCTGCGGTGGAGTAAAGGGTGGGGCGATGATGAGAGATGATATAACCCATAACCTGTGTGTGTTTGAGAACACTGTCCCATCCCCACATCCCACAGTAAACAATCAGAGGGCCAAATATGAACGCAAAACATGCAAATAAATAAATGAAGTAATGTGCGGGATAAATGTGTAGCCTAAGTATAAATACACAATAAATAATAAATCCGTTGTAATTTTTTTTTTAAATTTACAAGTTACATCTGCAACTAAGATCATGCCTGAATTAGAGTTTTAATATTTTAATAGCTTATTAATTTTTGTAATACTGTATTTATTATTTTTTAAACGTATTTATTTATGCGTTTCTTTCAACAGTATGATAATGATGGGGTAGTCAGTGTTTTTTTATTGATTCATCACATCACATAGTTTAACCTGAGGATTTGGCTGGTCAGAATGGTCCCGGTAGCCTGCTGGTAAATGTCAGAAATACACCAGTTTGTTTCAATCTTTCTTCATTGAACATATAAATGTTCAAAGATGTATATTCTTATTCTATAGCTTAATATTTCTATTTCAAATAAATGCTGTTCTTTAAATGACAGAACCACCAAGGGTCTCTATAGTAGAGCGTATTCATTTGGGAAAGGGGGCCACCCATAAAACTGTCACAGGCCCAAGAATTTTAGCAAGGAGTCTCTGATATACTTGTCTTCTTCTTGTTGTCTCTGTGCCCTGGTTACCGAAAACAGGGCTTTCCATCACAGGTAAATGTTTTAAAATATAAATATAAAAATAGACTATCAATTTTTATAAAAATAAATATTTCAAATAATAACATTTTTATAATATTGCAGTTTGGACTTTTTATTTTAATGCTACCTTGACCAGAAGAACAAATTGTAGCGTACAAATAGCAAACATTTAATTATATAGTAGTAGTATAGCTGCAAAACATGCTATATGAACTTCATTATATGCCTTCCTTTACAATTTCTAAATAATTGTTGTATAATTCATTATCAAACATGACCATGAATGCAGTTTATGGCAAAATTATATTTGTGGGTATTAGCAGTGGAAAAGTTCTCAGTCAATCCTCAAATACAGCTGTATATTGAACAAAACACCTATCAAGAACACAAATTAAAAACTTTAGTTTAAAACCAAAACATCACAGACAAGCATTTATATAGTTTATTCTAAGGAGGCTTGTTTATCCATAAATTAACCAAAGCTTGAATCAAATTTTGCAAAATACCTCTCCAGTTTTTTAGGAACCTGAAAGTGTAGCATCCCAACATTTAGTGGGACTTCAGAAGTGTTATACTGAAGAGCACATGGATAGTATTAACACAATGTAATGCAAAGTGGGTTTTGCAAGATGCAAGAGTCTGTTTGATCATTTGTAGATATGAATGTATGGATGAACAATTCTGAAAACTGCAGACATGGAGGAACAGATGAAAGAAAAAACAACAACAACAGCCATTTGACCTGGCAGCAATCTAAGGCAAAACAGGAAAAGGACAAAATTTGAATGAGATGTTAAACAGAGTTCACTATGCACCTGAGCAGAGAAGGCAGGTCTTACAGAATACATCCATCCATCATCAAGACACTTACAAGTTGTCAAACTGTAAAGAAATGCAGACTGAACTTTCTCTGTGGCTTTGCACTATGTATAACAAAGACGCAAATCTTTTCTTTATTTTCTCCTTTCCATCATTAGGTCAAATAGCTCTCCAGAATCCTCTACAGTACGTTACCAGGACATAAGCACTGGGAATGTTGATCAAAAAGAAAGTATCCATCTGTATTTATTATCTGAATAAATTCAAAGCTTCTTTAAAATGAAATGGGTCTGGTTCAATTAGTTGGATTGCTTTGTCCACTGCAAAATAAATTCAAAAAATTAAAATGCAGTTATGAAGAAAGTAAAGAAACAGGTGATTCTTCTAAAAATCAGAAGATTAGCTCTACGGTCCAAGGCTTACAATCTCTTTCTCTAAGCGTGTAAGTGACGGGTTAATAGCAGTCTTTCACTACCACTATTAAATCAATACTTTTTTTATTCATCACACTCTTCTTCCTCCACTTCTTCTTCATCATCATCATCATCATCAAACTGGTCCCTTGAATCCAAATCATCCTCATCTTCAATCTGTGGGGAAAAAGTCAAATCGGAACCAAGAATAAGAAGAAATGCAAGAAGCCAAAAAGACATTTGGTGAATACAAAGCCAGTGAAACTATGTTCTGCATTGTTGTAAGGAATGTACCGTCTCTCCCAAGTCCTTGAGTCTCTGTTTCAGGCTCAGAATCTTCTGGTCCTGGTCAGCGAGTAGCATGAGAAGATCGTCCTGCTCCTTCTTGGACTCCTGCACCTCCTGCTGCAACTTGCTCTTCTCTGCCTGCATGATGGCATCTGTGCTCGTGGCTGAAGCAAGTTCTTTCTCCATCAATTCCTTACTCTCCAGAAGAGTTTTAACTTCCCCCTGAAAGACAGGATAGACCAGAAAAAAGAGCAAGTGTTAAATGGGAAATGATGTCAAATGTAAAAGCACATAAAATAAGTAAACAAGTGAATGATGAAAAAAGGAAGGCGGCCATTCCTCAAGGGCAAGTCACCTTGAGCTTTTGTGTCTCAGCTGTCTGAGCAGAAAGCCTGCTCTCTAAATCTGCAATCTTCTCTGTGTAGACACCGTCTTCTCCTGGAACTGCAGCCTGAAAGAAAGACAACACTGAACTAATAAGCACAATCACAATCGTTCAAAAGTTTAAGGTCAGTTAGAATTTTTTTTTTTTTTAATATCATTGCTTTTACAACCTCCTGGGGTTAAGCAAGGATGCATCAAAAGGGACAATAAAGACTTTTACACTGTTATAAAATATTTTCATTTCAAATAAACTTCATCAAAATCTATGATAATCCTGAAAAAAAAATCTGTTTTTAACATTACTAATAAGAAATGTTTCATGAGCATCAAATCAGCATATTAGAATGATTTCTGAAGGATCATGTGACACTGAAGACTGGAGTAACGATGCTAAAAATTTTGATATGCCATCACAGAAATAAATTACATTTTAAAGTACCTTAAAACAGAAAATTTAGTGCAATTTGAAAATGTTTGTGTATTGTAGGATCAGGTACCCAATTTAGTTTTTCTGGTGGACTCACTGTGAGATTTGTTTCCCCATTTTGAATCGAATTTCAATTCAGTATCATACTTGCTTGAAATTTCAGGAGTTACTTAATAAAGTAATATTTTAATAAAACTTTAAATATGAAACTAAAACCATTAGTAGATGGTGGTAAGCTCTTGTATTAATGAGTAAATGAATCATTGAATAATTCAAACAATCTGTTCAAAGCATATGATTCATTCAGAAATTAAGCAAGTCACTGTCTTTATGAATGGATCATTGAATAACTCACTCAAATGATTCATTAAAAACACAGACTCATTCAATAACAAAACACTACTGTGTGTTGCTCAGAGATGCACAATGTTTCTGCTGTGGCTTTGTTTGAAACTATTTTCACTGGCATTCTAACAGGCTAAACCACGCAGTGAAACCATGCCCTCTCAAGGCTTGTTTTTTGCAAAGTGAGTGACACATTTATGATATGTTTGTAGATGATTCATATCGCACATCCCTATGTATCCGACTGCTGCTCATGGCCTGAGGTGTCCCCTCTTTAAACTGTCTGGGTGCTGCACTGCTCTCACAGTTGCCAATTTTATTTAGTCAATTATTATTTAGAAAATCCATTTTCATAATTTGGGAAGCGATTACAATCCTTAAAAATAGAATCACAGTGTTTCCCCTCCACTCCTAGTGGACTGATGAAAAAAAGCCTGCCCATGATGACTCCTTTAGACTGGATTTTACGATTTTGAGATTGAAATAGAGGTGGTCTGTTGGAATGCTATCTGAAGCTGAGACTGCAGTGTGGTGGACTGTACTGTCTGTACAATTATTGGAACACACTTACTGTGGTCTCAGATCCTCTGAGTAGCTCCTGTCTTTCACTCTGTAGTTGTGTGATCTCTGCGGTCTGGCTCTGCAGCTGTGCTTTCAGCAACTCCACCTCCTGCAATCAAACATTAAAATAAAATTATTTTCAACTCCGTTCAAAGTGTTTTGTATATAATTTTAGTGTTTTGTATGAAATATATTGAAGAGAAAGGTTGGAATTTTACCTTTTGTAATTCTGTGAGCTCTGAAGTTGAACCCTCTGCTGATGGTACTCCCTCAGCTTTCTGTTGGGCACAAACCAAATATTTCCAAATACACCACTACTGTTCAAAAGTTTTGGGTCAGTACGATTTTTCTCACACAAGTATCACACACAAAAACATTCAAAAACATTAAGCAGTTACCACAAAAATATCAAGCAGGACAACTTTTTTCAACATTGTAATAGTAAATGTTTCTTGGGCACCAAATCAGTATATCAGAATAATGATGAATGTGTCACTGAAGATTTGAGTAATGGCTGCAGAAAATTCATCTTTTCCATAGCATGAATAAATTTAATTTTAATATATATTACAATTATTTTAAACTGTAACAATTCTTTCAAAATATTACTGTTTTACTGTATTTTTGATTAAATAAATGCAGCCTTGGTGAGCATAAGAGATTCACTGCAACAACATAATAATGATCCCGAACTTTTGAATGATATCATAAATGCTACTGTAAAAGTCTAAGATATTAGAATACCAATAGAAAATACATTTCAATTTTGAATTTTCGAACACTCTCATACCAGGCTGGTTATTAGAGAGTCCTTTTCAGTCAGCTGCGTCTGCAGCAGCTGGTTTTGTCTTTGCAGTTCCTCAAGTTGTTCTCGGAGTTGGCTCAGCTCCTCTGGTTGCAGGCCGTTCACATGTGCTGCCTCTGCCTGATTACCTGTCTGCTGATTATCTTTACCTACAGAATGTGAAGAAAGAGTAGACCAATTGTAACAGTAACTTCTACTAAAATATTGCAAATACTACTGATATAGATCTGATATTTGCTCAGTACCTAGTTTGAGTTTGAGGATGTTATACTGATCCTTGTGCTGCTGGATCTGCGAGAACTGCTGTGTTATGGTGTTCTGCAACTTTTCATTCTGGGAACTCTGCAATGTTACTTGCTCCTTCAGCTCATTTATTTGAGAATCCTGCAATTAAACGGAGATGAACAGAGGAGAAATGGAAAATTAATGTGTAATTTAAACATATGCCTATTTTTCCTTCTAAAACCCTACAGAGGAAAGAGAAACCAGTGTTTAAGCAGGGGTAACCCACTTTTCTGCAGTCATAAGTTGAATATGTTTAGTCATCCTTATGACAATTATAGCCCTATAATACTATAATCATATTAGCCATATTCCAAGCCAAATACATAAGGATTCACTTCTCTGGATTAAGATCCAGCAGGGCTACCTATGGCAGCAATCAGAGCTCGAAATAAATATAGTACAGTCACATATGCACACTTTTGAACATCATATTTGAAGGGGTAATTTCACAAAAGTTGCTCAAGGTGCACTGGCTGGATCACAACATAAATAATAATTTGAATTTAAGTGTATTGGCATTTCAGCTTTATGGCAGGTACAGATAATAATCAAATATTCAATAAACAACATCTTATAAAAAGGAGAGACAATTATGTGCAACATTACTTTTTTACAAGCTGGGAAATAATTGATTTTTTCAACAGAGCTTATGATTTTCATATAAAATAGACTGATGAGGTATGCAAATTATTGTTGCTTCATGAATAACCCAAAATAATTGAATATACTACATGCATTAAAATATCAACAGGACTACTTTGAAACCTTGCACAGACATAAATGTGAGAATGGAATATAGTTTAATGTAGTTTTACCTGTTCTCTAATCAACTCTTTGTACTGGGTTACAATGCTGTCATGTTGTTCTAGTGTTTTCTTCACCTCTTCTTCCTTTTTCTCTTCCTCGCTTGACCTAAGCACTGCTTTTGTTATCATACCTATGAACAAATAAAGAACCACAGAAAATGGAAAAAACATTATGGATGAGGTAAAAGGGTCATATGAGTAATCAAATTTTCATTAAGGCTCAGTAACAAAATGTACTGTTTAATTCAGAGAGGATGGAACCCCCCAGATGAACTCAGACAACATACAAAACTACCAAATGTTGCTATAATGGACATCAACTTGAGATAGTCACCACTGATAAGCTATTACTAAATATAATGCAGAATCTTTAATTTTGAAAATGGAACATTATGGATGAGGTAAAAGGGTCATATGAGTAATCAAATTTTCATTAAGGCTCAGCAACAAAATGTACTGTTTAATTCAGGGAGGATGGAACCCCCCAGATGAACTCAGACAAAACATACAAAACTACCAAATGTTGCTATAATGGACATCAACTTGAGATAGTCACCACTGATAAGCTATTACTAAATATAATGCAGAATCTTTAATTTTCTGTAAAGCTGCTTTGCAACGATTTGCATCGTGAAAAGCGCTATACAAATAAACTTGAATTGAACGGAAGATATTAACAAAATTAACATTTTATGAAGCACAGAATGTAGAGTGGACTTTAAAAAAAAAACAACAACAACAACGTTATGAGACTTTAATACTAAACACAAAATGGCTGTGGTAATAATGCAGTTATTACTTGTGTGTGATGGTGGCTATATGCACCCCTGGACTCTTAAAGGAATAATAATTCACCCAGAAATGAAACTTTTCAACAATGGAATTTCAATGGGTCTGCATCACATTTAGACTTGATTTAACACAGTGCACTTGTGATCGGATCACTGACAGATGTTAATAACGAAGGGAAAAGAGGTATTAGTTTGTGTTCAGGGCTCCAACACTGACCTTCCAACTCTTTAACAAGTTTGGTGAACTCATGATCAAACAGCATGTGTTCTGGGGTGGAAAAGGCTGGCTGAGGTTTCTGAGCAGCACGAGAATACAGTTCGTGTTTGGTTATAAAGCCCAGCTTCTCCACAAAGTTTTCTTTTCCTATGCGCTTCTCAATCAACTGCTTCAGCTTTTCTCTGTGGAGAGATAGAGAAAATATTTTGTGAAACAGTGAGAGATAGGAGGCACAACTGACAGCACTGGGGCAAATGTTATAAGAAGGGCTGTCAATGGTTAATTTATCAGATTTATTAGATACACTTCCATTCAAAAGTTTGGGGTCAGTAAGATTTTTTTGATGTTTTTCAAAGTTTCTAACACTCACCAAGGCTGCAATTGTTTCATCACATATACAGCAAAAGCAGTAATATTGTAATAGCATTATAATTCACAATAACAATTTTAAAGTTTTAATTATTTATTTCTGTGTTGGCAAAAACATTTTACAGCAGCCATTACTCCAGTCTTCAGTGTCTAATATGCTGATATGGTGCTTAAATAACACGTTATTATCATGAATGTTGAAAACAGTTCTGCTTTTGATTTTTACATTTTTTTTTACAAACATGTAAAAAAAGTCTTTACTGGCTTTTATGTTTAGCATTTATATTTAACACCAATTTGTCCAATTACTTAATTTTGTACCTAATTTTACACAATATAAGAAGAATCATATCTGCTTTCTAAAAAATGTTCTGTGTTCATGTAATGTTAATGTATTAACACAATAACATTTAATTATATGTACATTAATTACCAATTAAAAGATTAAACAAGATTTTAAATCACCTGACAGCCCCAGTTATAAGACAATGAAATATGAATAAAAGAAAGTATGAGTGGAAATACAGAAAAAGGGTAAAGTAAGAACATACTTTGTGTAATTCTCTAAGCTGTTGTCATTATAGTAGATACAAATGCCCAACAACAGAGCACACAGACCCTGAACCAGTCGCTCATCCTCACCCAGGTTTTCTGAGATTTGACCTGTCAGCTGAAAACACAAGTTAAGGATAAAGCACAGAGCCTGTGACAAACAAGCAACTGTACTTAATGACAAGAGCCATCGAAATCACAGACAAGTCCACACTGGTTGTAGTCTAGTTTGCAAAGAGCGAAAGATGTAATGTGGTTACTGTAAATGTAATTCAGTAACTAGCTGTAACCAGAACTGGTCACTTTAAAGCTCATAGTCGCACTTTCAAGATTCAAGATTCAAGCTTTATCATCAATGACACTGTACAATGAGATTAGTCACTGTTTATGTGTACATCAGCTTAATAAATCAGGTGTGTGTGTGTGTGTGTGCGCGCGGATAGAAGGATACAAAGGGAACATTGTCTTGATTGTGCAGAAAGTGCATGACAGCGATTGGACAGTTGCTGATCCAGGTGCAGAGCAACATGAGGAGGCCGACCTTCGTCTGCACCCTACTGCCCTGTACACAGAAACAAAAACACACAATTATAAGGCCATGCTCATACTGCCATACACATTTATATTGAGATACGCACATCTTTAACATCTGAGAAATGAGCAAATAAGTTAATAAGAAACTACTGCAAGAAAGTCACATTACATTGTACAACATCTGTCATTTTTAATAAAAACTCATTTTAGACAATATTTCCAAAGTCCTCCTAATCATATTTGCTCATTTCTGTAGAAATACAATAAACAGCAAGATTGCAGAGGGTTGCTTTTTTGAGTTAGAAATGTGCCGAGCAGTTGGAGCCCATCTAACCCTTGTCTTTGACCTGTTTTGCAGTTGATTTGACAAAAAAAAACATTCAACAAAAGGACTTTTTTAAATTAATTTACAGATAATAAAAAATGAGAATTACAAACGGAAAAATGTTTGCTGTTAGAGCGTCAAATTATATTCAACATCTATGAGCTTAAGACTAAACAAAAACAGACAGAGAGAACTGAGTGTGTGTGCCATTTCGATTTTAAGTTACCAAAAACCCAATCCATGTTCTATCACAGCATATCTGCAATTAGTAACTGTGAATAACAGATGAGTTTCATTCAAAAGTCAAAGGAGAAGGTTAAAGGCTTTCCAAGATTTGACAATTTTCTGTACTATCTACCAGCGTGCACACACACACACACACACACTTTTAGATAATTAGCTTTTGAGGATAAAATGCCATCAGGATAACCTAAAAAAAAAATGTATGACTTCCCATTAATAAAACAAAGGTGTAAAATATTTATAAGTTATGTGAAAAAACAGGAGAAGGAAACATCAAACACAAGCTCAAGTCCACGGAGATACTCGGAACAAAAACACAAAATCTGGAGTGCCTCAAACTGAAACACAGCCTCTACGGAAAAGACAAGAGTTGCATCCCAAATGATGTATTAATACACTATTATAATGCTACCATCTACTTTATGAAATACTTCATTTATGTTTTTCAGTTGCCGATAATTATGTGCCAAATGAATGTTTAGCCTCTCCTCTTCTTAAAGAAAGCTGTGACTGAGTTTAAAAAGTATTTATAATTTGACTTTGTATTTTTAGTTGAAGAACTACATCCAGATATTCGTACACACTACACCTCACTGCATATTTCAGTGTTAATACACTTTAGGTCAATTCACACCGAACACAGACAAACGCCAACAAACACGTTGACTGTTGGATTTAGAATTTTATGAAAAATAACGGTTATGTTCACACTGCCCCAACAGACACCAACAAACACTGACTGAACATGTTCAGTCGGGTAAAAAAAACAAACTCTTACCAACTGCAACAGACACTGACAGGGGTAACACACTGAACTAAAAAACCCAATAAACGTGTTTGTTGAAGTTTGTCTGTGTGGTGTGAATTGGCCTTTATATGCATTACTTACACTACCGTTTAAATGTTTGGTTTTAAAAAACTTTGTTTTTGAACAAAGTCTCTTATGCCAAAGTCCCTTTAAGACAAGTCATGTCACTCGGCGGCCATCTTTGAAACGCCTCTCGGGCATGCAAGTGCAACTCCTATCTCTTTGAATGGGGAAACATCAAATTCTTCAAAACGGTTCACTAAGCTTACGATTAAATTTCATATTTGAAATCACCAATGAAATCTGACAACAACTGTGTCATAAATGTTGTTTATTTTGCTCAAATAGCGTTATAAAAAGCTTATTTTTCAGGCTAGATCAGCCAGTGCGCATGCACAGTCCTAGGCGCACGTCTCAGAATGCTGACTGTTTCTATAGTAACCGGGACATCTAACGGCAGCTGCAGTGACACGTTGACTTTACAGATTAGCGATTGGCTCTTTTGCTCAGAAGGCGGGGCTTCATTCGATAGAGCGGCCATATTGAGCGTTGCATTTTTCCCATTCAAAACTATACGAGTGACACGTCTTGGGTATTCTATAATCTTTGCTTATGCTCAGCCAGGCTGCATTTATTTGATCACTAATACAGTAAAAATACACAGTAATATTGTGAAATATTATTAGAATTTAAGAGAACCATTTCTGTTTCAGTATATTTAAAATGTAATTTAACATTTACTCCAGTCTTCAACATTACACGATACTTCAGAAATCATTATAATATGCTGATTTAGTGTTTAAGAAACATTTTCTACAAAATCGTAATACGTTTTCTCCAAAAGAACTGTATTTATTTGACATACAAACATTATAAATGTCTTTACTCCTTCTGATGATCAATTGAATGTGTCCTTGCTGAAAGTATATTTCTTTACAAAAGAAAAAAGAAAAAGAAAAAAACTAACCCGAAACTTTTGAATGGTATGCAATAATTTCGAGTTTGAAATGAAGCATGTACATTTCCATTCAAACACTATGCAGTAGGTTTTATTGTTCAAAATATCCTTCAACTTTTCAACAATTTTTCAAAGAAACAGCATCTGTAAAGTGTGAGCTTATATGAATTATGGGTTAAAAAAAAAAGCACACTGAAAATTTTAAGAGATAAGCCACTTTTCTCAGTGTTAAACTGCAGTCATGACATAAGAGTAACACAGATGCCGGGACGGGAGAGAGTTAATTGCTCAACAACTGACACAAAATAATCAACATGTTTATATATATATAAAAAAAAAAATTCACAAAAGCAAAACAGGAAAGTACTGGGCAGCAGAGAAAGCAATCAGAAAAATTAGTTTTGAATGAATATTTGCCGTCATCAACTCATTGGATTTGCAGCCACCTGAAAATGGGTAAATAACAGTACAGATTTCACAGATTGAGTCCGAAATAGACATGTGCCGGTATGTGCTGGTATTCGGTAATGCGATACATCGCGATAATGAACATGCATGATATTGTTATCGTAGGCACTTCAAAATACCGAGAATAATTATTTATTACAAATTATTCAGAATTTTGAATGCATTTTAAGAATAGTTTCCCATCAACTGGTCACAATGCACAACGCCGCTGTATGCTGCGTCACAGACGCGTGTGTACTCTGATGTAAACAAGCACGGATGAGAAGCGCATGGCGGAGCGCGTGAGACGCTCTGGATGGAATCGCACATTCACTCTGACAGCAGAAGGCGCTAAACATAATGCAGCTGTTACCCCAGAAACAAATTTTAATTATTATATTATAAAACATATTTAAATTATTTAAATAGCCATTCAGATTTGTGTATTCGCTATGGTGTTCATCACAGCGCCAAATATTTAAACTTAATAGGCTATTTATTTTAAAACTTTTTTACATTTTATTCTGGACTACAACATGCCCTAAATATTGTTTGAAAGTGTTTTGATTCTTTATTGTTCGGTCACACTTTACATTAGGGCTTCATTAGTTAACATAAACTGCCAATGTAAAAAATCTTCTAAACATACATTAATCTTGGGTAATTCCAATATTTAATAACACTTTGTTAAAATCAAAAGTTGCAACTGTGTTATTTAATGAGTTAACATGAACTAAGACTTGTATTTTTCTTTAATAAAGATTAATAACTTCTGTAGCAAATGTAGCTATTGCTCATTGTGAATGTTAATGCATTAACTAAGGTTAACTAATGAGATCTTATTGTAAAGTGATACCTATTGCTCTTTATAATTCTTTTGCACTTTAATCTGTGTAAAATTTTTAACTATACATTTTTTATGTATTGCTTTATTGTTTTTAAATGTTCAGTTATTTTTATTAGAAAAAAAGTTATTAAACCTGTTATACTGTATTATGACAACACTTTTTTGCAACTAAATTTCAATACCGTGATAATACCGTATACCGTGATAAAAGCATTAGCAATTAATCGCAACATGATATTTGATACCGGCATATCCCTAGTCCGAAACATCTGTATCTTCCAGAACAAGCCCGAAAGACCAGAGCATGCGGTCAGCAGTTGAAAATCAAATGGTCAAAGCCAGGGCTGCCAGGGTCAGTAAGGGGACACAACAAACATGGCAGAAACAGCAAACAGAAAGAACACAAAACACCTAATGAACCCCCAATGTGGAAAATGAGGCCAAGCCACACCATCACATTAAACTGTCCACGCTGAAATACTCACCCTCCGGTCGAGCTTATCACCCTGCAAAAACCACAGCACATTTCATTTTGAAATTTAGTGACAACCACAAGGTACCATTCCCATACGAGTTCAAAGTGTCTCCAAAATTTGAGACACTTGCCCCACACACCTGTTGAAAAAACAGCTTAGACCAGTACGAACTTGATGGTCTAGGCTTGTTTATGCTGGTTTGGTGCTGGTCTAGCCAGGGCCGTAACCACCATAGAAATTAAGGGAGGGTGACCTCTTTTCCCCGGACATGTCCTCTCTTTAGACCTAAAAAATTGCATCTGGCTGGGATTGCTAAATCACCCAAAATGTCCGGGATTTCAGTCGCCATTCATTGTGTGCGTTTTTGTATTAGAGCCCTGCCCCAGACTGTTTTCTTAATCCCGCTCCCGCTGAATTTCTGACCATTACCTGCTCCCACAAATATTCTAATATTGCATACCATTTTTGCGCATCAGGGAGCCACTATCAATATGCGGAGTATTTAAATCACTTTGGATGCAGCTCGTGTTGGCTGCAGGGTTGCCAAATCCGCAGTTTTTGCACGGAATTGGGTTGATTTTCTCCCATGGGTTACAGGTTTGAAATATTGCATAAATTACAATTGACTGAAATGCTTGTATTGAAACATTTTGCATTCTACCTATGATAAAACTTTGGTAGATGTTAAGTTTTGTGAAGGATGGCCACTGGTAGGAAGCTTTGTAGTTGTGTTTATGATCAATCTGCATAACTGTGACTGTAAAATATGTATTTTAGGTATGGAAATGACATATTGTGAGTTTTGATATACTTTGAGGGCTACTTTAACCCTTTAATCTTTACTTAATATTCTAATGATTTTTGGCATAAAGGAAAAATCGATAATTTTGACCCATACAATGTATTGTTGGCTATTGCTAAAAATATACCTGTGCTACTTATGACTGGTTTTGTGGTCTAGGGTCACATTTATTATTTAATTGATTTACGAAAGAAATGTTCACGACAAACAGTAATATTCAGTGATAAAAACTGCTCAACCTTATTGTCAAATTTAGCTTTGAATCAAAAATACATGCTGTCATTTATGTGATTCATGTAATTCTTTAAAATGAATGTGATGAGACAGGAAGGCATTTTTTGTGTGTTTGCAACATCATGCATACAAATAAGACAAATGGTGCATATTTAAAAATATTATGGTTCAAATTAGTGCCTTTACCAAAAAATTGTATTCTTTCTCTTGAAATGTTTTTCTTTATTCCTCTGAATCCATGTAAACTTTTTTTATTTAATTAATTTAAATAAAAAGAACATTACCATTGGGGTCTTTTTAAAAGACCTTCAAAGAAAATGCCCCCCCCCCCTTTTAGTTGAAAAAGGTGAATTTGACAGTTAGCCTGAGAACAAACACAACATAGTCTGGTCTTTTCAACAGTGAGAGTATGAAAAAAAGTGGATAGTACAGTAGAATTACTTAGGTAAAAAATAAAAAATCCAAAAGTTTCAATACCCTTGACTAAAGTCCACAAGCTCAGAGCCTTAAACCCAAAATGTCGACTAAACAGCCATGAAAACACACACTGCCACATTTTAAAGTTGAGAGGGTACCTGGGACAGGATGTTGGTGCACTGCTGGAGAAGGGAAACGGGTGGCTTGCCGAGACTGGTGGCCAATTGTACCCGTAGCAGCTGTTCTTTCTGGGTGAGGTTATCCTGCAGTGCATGAGCTAGAGCCACAGCGGCACACCAGTTTGACAGAGAGTCTGCTGAGAACAGACCTCCACACAATAACTGTCCCGCTGAGATAGAGTTAGCTGATGACAGAGAGACATGACAAGGGTCATAAAATATACACAAATGACAAGGGGAAAAAATTATTTTGAATGTAAAAGTTTGACTAGTGAAATCAGAAATTTAAACAGTGAAAAACAAACAAAATAACCATCCGAAAGATAACCACCAAAGTTATTTAAGTTGGTTAAATTATAGTATAATTTCACAAAGAAAATAACACAGCTACACTGGGACACAGTTTTTGGACAGAAATTGTCCTCCTACTGTTCCCATGTATAAAACATAACCAACTGAAGTCAAGTGATGCATGAATATTCGACACCAAGGCATCCATTACAGGGTTAGTTCACCCAAAAATTAAAATTAGCCCATAAATTACTCACCCTCAAGTCATCCTAGGTGTATATGACTTTCTTCTTTCGGACGAATCCAGTCGGAGTTATATTAAAAATTGTCTTTGATCTTTCAAGCGGTTTAATGCCACTCAGCGGGTGTTGGATGCATCAGTCCAAAAGAAGTTAAAGGTGCAGTAGGAGATCTTGGAAAATGCTAACTTTATGCTAACTGTTGGCGCAAGCTACATTAAAGTGATTATTACGTTTTGAATATGGATATTTTTCTTACAAAAACGCATCGATTCGTTACAGGAGGCCTTTGTTCACCCCCAGGAGCCGTGTGAGACACTTTTTTTTATGGATGGGAGCTTTTTATTTAACTTCTTTTGGACTGACGTATGCAACACCCGCTGAGTGGCATTAAACCGCTTGAAAGATCAAAGACAATTTTTAATATAACTCCGACTGGATTCGTCTGAAAGAAGAAAGTCATATACACCTAGGATGACTTGAGGGTGAGTAATTTATGGGCAAATTTTCATTTTTGGGTGAACTAACACTTTAATGGCAGAGCTAGTCAGGGCAACCCTTACCATCTATAGTGGAGGGCAGCAGTGTGGCTACAATCTCCCCCTGTCCTTTATGGTTCTTGTACAGGAAGCATTGGAAGCAGTAAAGTACAGCACAGCGGAGAACAAACGGCTGTCTCTCGTTCACCATCGACATTAGAAGAACCACAATCGCAGGCCTGTAGGAAACAGCCAATATGTTCATATTGCCAACTCTTTCTTTTTTGGTTACTGTTTCAATAAACAGTGCTAAGCACAAACCAGACCTTGGTGGATTGGATGGTGCGTTAACTGATGCAAAGTAGTCCTGATTCACTTCAGAGCCACGTATGACTTCTGACACAGTATTGATGGTCTACACAAGAAAGACAAATAGAAAATACTTTAAACATTTCAGTTGGTACATCACTGGTACAGTGATATTTGATACAGTTAAAAAGAAGTAAAAAACAGCAGCTTTGTGTACATGGCTTAATACTGCACTTTTTTTAACTGAATGCAGCACAGTTAGGGGTAATGTTTTTCACAGTTTTGCTAACATCTCGCATCATTTTCAGTATCTTGCACGTGAGCACTGCATTTTTAGAATTAGTTACACTGAGACACTGCATTCAAAAACGTGTATTGTGTGAATGACCCCTTACTTCGTAAGTGCTTAATAGGGATCCATTTCTTTGAACAGTGGTTTCACTATCTGATGCATGTACACTGGTTGCTATAGTAATGACACAAGTGAAACATTACTGGAGTCCGCACACCCACATTTATACAATACTGCACACTGAATGACAAAACAAATGAACAGACTTGAACTTTAATCTTCACTTAAAGGGTTAGTTCACTTCCAGAATAAAGATTTCCTGTTAATTTACTCACTCTGTGACACTGTCACACAAAGACACATGTTTATACCGCTCAATATATATATTAAGATGGTTTTATCTCTATATATTTTTTATATATATCTATATATCTCTATATATCTATATAGTTTTAATGTTTTTATATGTTGTCTAAGCCAGTGTTTCCTAACCGGGGTGCCGTCTGTTGAGAGCAGGGGTGCCATGTAAAAAAAAACAACCTTTTTTAATATTTTTAAATTGCTAAAATGTTCAAAAAAGCAGCTATTATATAATATCCATTTCTGATGTCGCCAATAATTAGAGATGCACTGAAATTCCGGCTGCCGAAAATTAGTTCACCGCTCAGGATTCACTTTCACGTGGTGTGACTCGTGAAAGCGTATTATCCCGCTCTATGCGTGTGTGTGCTCCGCTCAGTCGCTCACGGCCCATGTGAGTGCTCCACTCATATACCGTTCATGCTCATCGGAACAGCAAAGTCCACTCAAAAATCGAGCTGACAGGAAACATCTATGTAGTACAGTATTGTTTCTGTCTGCAATAGCCCTACTGTGTTGTAACAAGGTGTGGT